TCCTCGTTCCTGTACTTTTATACCTTAGGTGTTAGGTTTTCAACACCTCCACCATTATTATTTGGGTCGATCAAAAGACAACACAATTTTATTATTTTCCTCAGTAACTTTATTCAGGCATCAAAGTGTTTTCATGCCATTTACAATTGGATTGACACGCCACATCCTGGCACTAAGGTCTTGACAGAAGATTCATGACTTTTCACACTCAAGAGGGGTTTTTGTGTGGGAATAAAAAAAATAATGTTTTCTCCCCTAGTTTGGATTAGTGTGGAGTCGAATAAACTGCATTGAATAATTCAAATCTGGGATAAATTGAATTTCTATAATTACATAATTACAGGTGGAGACGGGTGGTTTGAATTGTGAAAAATGTGCAGGGTTAAAATAAGCTATTTTTGAAAGATTATTAGGGTTTATGTTTTATAGGTAAGTGTTTTATGAATGGTGACTTTTCCATCTATCTTTCTCTATGCTAGTTCTTAACTGTAGAGATGTAATAGCTTCACCAGTCAATGACCAAGTGGTGCTGGCTATAGTTCCTTCATTTTGAATATATAGACTGAAGACTTATAATTCTAAGATTTAAATTTAACACTCTAGGCAGTATGTGTTTTCATGTTTGTGATGAATGAAACTCAGGTGCTTTCTGTTTACTGGAGCTGATCTGCTGGCTTTCTGTGATTTCCTGCGATCATGTATTTGTACACCCACAGGTAAAAACATTTTGTTGCTAGGTCTTTTTCCAAACTACATACACCCCCCCCCGTCCTCTTTTACATTCTTATAATTAAAGAACACAATGAAACATAGCAGATTACAGGTGAGAAGTTCCCCCAGAAAACACAGGACCCAAATGCATGACTCAACAGACAATGTGAAAGTTTAAAAGACTTATTTCTTAGTGTGTACAGAGCTGCTCCAGGGCTGGAAACTGTGAAGAAAGCTGTGGTGTTCAGGTGAGAACTAGGGGGCCTCTGGATCAGGACACATTCAACTCCACACTAAACTAGGGGAAGAAAATATTCATTTTTTACCTATAAAACATAAACCCTAATAATCTTTCAAAGATAGCTCATTTTAACCCTGCACATTTTTCACAATTCAAACCACCTGTCTCCACCTATAATTATAGAAATTCAATTTATCCCAAATTAGAATGATTTAATTCAGTTTATTTGACTCCACACTAATCCAAACTAGGGGGAGAAAACATTATTATTTTTTATTCCCACACAAAAACCCCTCTTGAGTGTGAAAAGTCATGAATCTTCTGTCAAGACCTTAGTGTCAGGATGTGGGCTGACAATCCGGTTGTAAATGGCATGAAAACGCTTTGATGGTAGAATGAAATTATTGAGAAATAAGAAAATCATCTTTTGATCGACCCCATAATTAGATTGGATGTGTGAAAACCTAACACCTAAGGTATAAAAGTACAGGAACGAGGATGTGGGGTGGAGGGATGGGCAGAGGGCTCTGGGACCAGAAGGGGCCATGGCCTTGACAACATGGTGCCCTTGTATACTCTCTATCAGCCCTGTCCTGTTTTTGGGCTTCCCTTGTGTTGTTCAAGATAAATTCACATACGAAGAAATGCAGAAACACATTATCCAGGGAGATGAGCTGACATACGGCCTTGTTGTTGAACAGATCTCTTGTATTAGTGCAAAGTTTGACAAAGAGCACTGAAGAACTTTAGGGCCTTGAAAACTCTGGACTTGTGACATGAAGAATTGGAATGCAGAACATTTTATGATTATAAGTGCAGAAGTAGGTCATGGAAAAAAAGGCAGACACACATGCACGTGGCTGACAGACTTCCCTTGAAAGTGTCTGAGGTAATCTATGCTAGCCCGTTTATCTAAACAAGGCGTGCTCTGCGTTTTGTCCAGCACTGTGGAAGAGACACCAGGAGCACAGGTTGCAGAATGGAAGCTGTTTCTACGTACAGTATCTCCAGACACTGACAAACTTAGATCAGTATTTCTAACGCTGTCAAACTAACTATTGAACATGAGATGCCAACAGTGGATGAACATTTTTTTAAAATTGTTACAGGGATTAAAATGATTACATGAAATAAATGCAGAGGGTTGCTGGGAGCTGCAGTGCATTTGTGGAAAAGCTGTGTGATAGAGCAGCTCAAGGCTTGAAGACTGAAGAGTGTTTTGAAACAAAGAATGGATGAAGGAAATGAGAAAGCACTAAAGTGAGCTGAAGTTCAAACTTGATAATCAGACTGAATTACCGTTTTATTTCACTTCATTCAAGCTACATTTCTACATCTTTCAGAAACCACATTTAATGCTACACCTCAGTTCCAGTCAACAACTGATAGTCAGCTTCCTTCAGTGATTCCAGTTCAGCTTTTTTTGATTGTTGATCATTTTATTCAATCTTAGCTACAGTCTACTTAACATGAGTTCTGGATTGCAACGTCTGTATGTATTTCATGCAAAAGCAGGTGGTCATATGTCCTGGTCATATGCCAGGGATAGCTGCGATATCTGTTCCCCGACTTCAAAACTTTAGTGGTAGTGGAGCTGGCATTCAGGTTTCAGAGCAAAATTTCAAGGGCCATGAGCAACCTAGTGACAATCACCTCTGCAGCAGGTAACAGCAGGTCAGTTCAGTTAGCCTACCTTATTGTAAATGGATTGTCCACATTTTAATGGTAATTGTCTAGTTTTGTAAAATTGCAATGCTCATATTTGCTTGTTTACACACCCTGGCTGCAGTATTTTTATATTTATTTGCTGTCACTGCCAAAAAAAAGACACCTGCTTTATGTGGTGTTGACATGAAAAGGTGCTGCACATAAGCTTGTTCCATATACAGTATTAATTATTACAAAAATAAAATGAAATGAATGAAAATAAAATGCTAATAAATGTCTTATCATTAAAAAAATGAAAATTAAATTGCATGGTAATAATAAATGATGACAGAATATTTGTGACCTGTCTGTCGAAACGATGAACAATGATAAAGTCTAGCGCGATCGCTGCAATATACTTTTAGAAAGCTTGGAATATAAAATGGCAGTTGTGTTCAGTGTAGACCTTGATGACTTTGACTCGGGTAATGGGGACTCAGCGTGGACTCAACTTACAGTATTCTTTGGTAACTTGGACTTGACTCAGACTTGAACCCTGGGGACTCAAGGCTCAACTCAGACTCGAACACACACTGACTCATACTGGTTCAGAGGTAAAACGAGGACTTCAGGAGTGGAACGTGGGCAAAGTGGTGCAAGTCTGTCTTCTGCTTGTTCAACAGCTGTTTGATAAACTGCTCATACAGTCTCTGTTGCTGGCTGATAGTTGCACTACAGAGTGGTCCTCCAGGTCTTCTGTTCTCTGCCTGCTCAGCTGTTAGTGCATGTGGGGGGCAGCCCCTCCGCTCCCTCCTCTAAACAGAGACCAACAGAGAGAAAATACAGTTAAAAAACAAAGCAGGACAGTCCGCGTGAACCCCGGAGGCTATGCGGGGTGAATTATGGGGTATACCACTCATTAGGTTCCAATAGTGGAAACGCAGCATATAGGTACAAGACAAACCCAAATGATTCTTTGTGAAGATGGTACCTTATCATGATGCTGAACTGGGAACCTTTCAGTGTCCTGAATCTTCATCAACAGTCACAAAGATATGGAAACCATGAATTTGTAAGCAGTTATATTAGTTGCAGTGTTACGTTTTATGTGAACAATGAAAGGAGCTGAAGATTGTTTTGAAGGATAGCCTCTAAAGACAAGAGTTTGCTACATGTTTTTCTCAGTGCCTGTCTTTTTTCTTCGACTCAGGAGATTGGACCGAATTCGTCGGGAGATGTCAGAGGACTCTGTCAGTATGAACCCAGAGCCCAAACCCTTCATACCATCCACCCCACCACCTTGGACTATGGAACCGCCTCCGTCCTATGACACAGTGATGAAGAGCCAGGAGCTGAGTGAGCAGCTCTAATCTCTGGTTGACATCTTGCCTTCATGTCAGTGCCTTTTGTCCTCAGTCCTGTGTGAGATACTTGAAGAAACAGTTGGTATTTTCTGTGAAATTGTTGCAGCAGGCCTTTACTGCGCCTTGAAACAGCCACCTAGAGCCCAAACATAAGCCGAGGAGTAAGAAGAAACTGCCGCTGGATAAAGACTTACAGACTGAGCCCCAGCGTGGCCTCTGTGTGTCCTAAATGTGTGTTGTGATTGATTGTGAAAGGAACTGGAATGATCACTACAACTGCTTCACTCTCTGCACTGAGGGCCTTTCTTGAGAACAGCATTACCGACTTTTATAATGAAGACCTTCATGTCAAATGTTGACACCTAATAAGGATATTTTATTGGTCTGCATGAATTTATGTGACCTACTACTGTGGCTGCACAGCACTATTCTTCAACCACAGCTCCTCTTTGTATCTGCACTCTTTTACCTTTGAACAAGCCTGACTGAGCAGTCAGTTAGCTTAGCATTTTGGCTTATGCCAATGCTAAGTGCCCTAACTAGCAGAATGTTAACAGTACACTGTTACTCATCTTTCAGCTTTGTATCCAGTGTTTGCAGAATGTCCACTGTGTTGTGATGCTTGAGTTAATGAATAGCTATATGGGTGGTGTCTCAATTAGAAATAATTCATTGTTTATTTAAAAAAGAGCGAAGGCCTGGAAAGGCGGGGAAGGGAAGTGTCGAGCTGTTTAAAAATATGCCTAAACAAAGCAAGCATCAACATCCACTCAGTTAAATACTGTTCAGAAGCTGAGATGCAAGCCTCCTTTTAGCAGCTTAAGGAAAGGTGACCTACTAGGTACACATATACTCACCTGTAATTTTATCCCTGACCCGACCAGGCTGTCTCCAGGCTGTAATAAGCAGCCGAGTGGAACCCTAACTGCGTTTTCTCCAGCCTCACCTTCAAGCTCGAGTGCACAACACCACAAAATCTTTACTCTCAGTATGACGCGTGCCTCAGTTTCAAATTTACACAGAGAAGAGCTTCACTAGCCAGCAGTGGCTACGGCGATGGCAGAGGGAAAACCCTATCGGTATGGACTGATAGCTACAGGGCTGTGTGTGGTGGCAGTCGGCCTTTTCATCATGACACAAGAGCGGCCCCACATTTATGCCACAATGTGCGTTCTGGGTGTCGCCATGGTGTGTGTCGGGTCTGTGTGGAGCCTCTGCCAGTGCTACCCCAAGGTAAATCCAGACTGTGCATGTTAGAGAGAGAGACACAGAAAGTAACGTCTGATCGCTGTCATGCAAGAATGGAGTTGTTAATAGAGCGTGTGTGTTTGTCAGGTCATTTTGGCTCCTCAGGAGAAATGTCTAGAGGATCTAGTGTGTACAGCAGCCGAAGCAAATGATGAGAGGTATCAACACACACACACACACACACACACACACACAGTGCCAGTGGCCCACAGACAAGTGGGTGTTCACTCAGGCCTTAATGATTCCTTGCAGTTTGTCTGTCTATACATCAGGATGATGTCAGTGGCTATCATGTTGTGGGTGAACATGGCGACAGTACCAGTGTAATGTGTCTGGTGGGGGGCTAACAGACTGTAGATACTAATTTTATTACTATGACAGGAAATTGAATGGTGATATAATGCCAGCAGGGCAGATGATGGAGGTAATGGAGAGTGCTGAAGACAGGAAAAGTGGAAGAGAACTAAAAGGTGGCCTGAAGGGTGAGGCTGAAAGGAACAGATTGGAAACATATGGGTGGAGACAGTGAATAAGTAACGCTCCCCCCTCCCCTCACAATGACCATTATGTTCCCTTGATTAAAGCCCTTGAGCCTCAGTGGCCAGTGGTTGAAAAAGGAGGCTGTACTCCTGTTTGTAACTCCGTGCATGTTCAACAGCCAGACAAGGACATGCATGATCAGAAAAGCCCTGAGTCAGAGTAAAAAAAAAAAAAAGAGCAAGAAAATGAGGACAACAGGCTGGAACTAGACTTCTATTTCTGTCCTACCCCTCCTCCTCACTTTCGGTTTAATTTTAGGCATGCTGATGCTCTGCCAGTTTTGAACAGCCAAAAACCGAGGAGCAGCAGGCTTCTTCCCGAAACTCTGAAGAGCCAGTGTCACAGCTGCCCCACGCTGCATCTGGTCTGACAGAGGGACACCACCTGAAACACTCGATGTTTGATGCATTTTTATAATCCTTGACTGAGTGACAACATCGCTCACACATGGTGAAGTTTGAATTATTACAACCAAAGGAACTGACTGATTGTGTATTAACAGGTTTGAATCACAATGTGTCATTGTGAGTGCTTAAAGATTCCTTTAACATGTTAAAATATATAAAAATACTTTGTGTTTTATATGGTATTTCCACAAAAAGGTTTGATGAACTGCTTATGTTTTATTAAAATGACATCTTCAGTAGTCTGTTAACCTCATTGAAAATATATTTCATTTCAAAAGTGTCAGAGTTGGACACAGGATGTCTCCTACTCGGTGAATGCACAGTGGTGGTTGTGTAAGTTGCACAACGGACCAAGACTGCAAACTAGTTATGACATCACAAAATCGTGGTACCACATATATTTCAAACCAAAGATTGAGGTGAATTCAAGAAACCTTCCCCCTTCTGCTAATGAATGTGATCCCCTCCAACATTATTCTGCAAAGTGAAGCTCTGGCATCCACATGAAGAAACTACAGTGGAACCTTGGATTGCGAGCAACCTGGTTCGCCAGTGTTTTGCAAGACGAGCAAAAACAATTTGATTTGATATACAAGCGAAGTCTTGCAATACGTACACTTTGTCTGCCGAGCGTCACGCGCTTCACTCATATAGTCCATATCTGTACGGAAACAATGGCCCCTCACGCCAGCCACGATTCTGTTCAAAGGTAAAGTGCAGGTTAATTTGTTTTATTTTTACTTTATACTGTATTTTGTATTACTGTAATCATTTTTATATGGATAAGTGAGTGTGGAACGAATCATCTGAGTGTCCATTATTTATTGGGAAAATTCGCTTTGATATACAAGCGCTTTGGATTACGAGCACGTTGCCGGAACGAATTATACTCACAATCCAAGGTTCCACTGTATAAGCAAACCATATTTTTGAGTGATGAGGGACTTTACTACAGTTATGTATTGAGTTTGTAGGTCCAGAAGATGGCAGTATTTATTATATGACAGCGATAGAGAAACAAAAACTGACCTGCATGAATTCTATTACTTTTTATTCCCATAATGTGATTAAAGTGGTCCAACTTTGTATGACAGTTCTGTAAATTTGGAGGATTTATAAGAGACAGATTATAAAAGTAATGGTGTACATTGTATCCTGAAACATCCTGAATATTCTGACTTGAATTTGGGTCAAGCTTTGAAAATGCTTGATCCTGTGGTTCCCGTAATGCAACCCAGTGTCTTTCATTAGATCCTACTGTACTGTTTCAAACTCGATGCCCCCAGTAAGTGATATGGGGTTTCTTAAATGTGCAGCCTTCTGGCTGTATTACAGTCCTACAAAGTAACTGTAGACTACAACAGAATGCACACAGACATGACATTCATTTTCTAATCAGCTAACCCTCCATCTTCTCTAATATATCCTTCCATTACTTTAACTCCAGTAGTTCAGAAATGCACAAAATTAACTTTGTCATCCTTTTCTACAATAAAATGATCTAATAGTGTATGTGCTGTCAGTTCAGTCGAGCTGAACCTCTGCTGTGAAATCTGGTGGTCTGTGGCTGCCAGAGAGAGGAGCTGCTCTTTGCTTTGTGAGTAATGTTGCACTTTCACATTTGGTGTGGATGCCATCAAGCTCAAGCCAAGATAACCCTGACGCCCTCATCAGGGTTCCTTTCTCAAACGTGACCAAAACTCACCGAGGGCCATGGAAATGCATGTACCTTTTTTCACAGGCTGAGAAGTAGCCTAGTCTTTGTGATGTTAACATATTGTCATATATAAAATTAGTGGAATCTCCCACTGTTTGTCTTAATAGCTCATTCATTTATATCAGCTTTTCATTTGAACTGTATGAACTCATTGTTTGGACCTAATAGTTTAAAGTGAGCTGAATGGACAGAAATATACAAAGAAACGTGTATGTGAGAGTTTGATAGAGAGTTCCAGGCATCTGCATGAGCACAGCTCATGCAGGGAGACTTTAAAATGAGGAGAATAAGCTAAATATTGGGCACAATCACTTGGCATGCCTTTAGGAATAAACGAGCACTTGCATGCATAACTCACTCTGTTCACATGAAGTGCACATGTTAAACAGCATCAACTTGAACATGTACTGAATGCAGTAATTACAGGGTGGTTTGGGGAAGCATGAAACATGACTCCACCACAGTAAGAGGTATTTTTAAGGCACTAAAGCGGTGGCTTGAGTCCCAGAAACGTCACCAGTCCCCGCCTTGAATTATAATAATCAATTGTTTGATTTCCAAAATCAGAAAAGATGGTTGGAGGCGCTCTGTGACTGTCAGGCACACAGGACGCGCGGATGCATCTGGATAACTCAGACTGTCGTTAGTGGATATACAGTATGCAATTCACTCCCTGTTGTGATCATTTTACCAATAACAGCCAAAGAGATGTGACGAACCTTAGCCTGGCTGGGCGCTGTGTTTGTGCGCATCTTTGGCCAAGAGCGCGCAGGACTACCCCGAGGACGATGAGATGATCCTGGAACTGAACGGGACTTGAAACGGGAGCCGAGCCCGCTGCAGAGGTTTGATTATTATTATTACAATGTTGATCTCTAAAGCAACTAGAAAATTAATCATTTAATCGATTGATATTCAAGTGACATTTTGAAATCCAGTCCCTTTGTATGTCTCACTTCTCTTCATGCATTTTGACAGAGCACCTACAGGCTACTGTATGTTCCGTGCGTCACACCCCAGGCAGCGTGGCGCATGCCCGGTCAGCACCTGGTTATACTGCATCAGGGGACGCACGAGTGTCACGTCCAGAAAGCCATCAGGGGGCTGAGAACCAGAGCAACCAGGAGAGGATACCTGCTGGAGACCCTGTAGAACTGCTCTGGAGCTCTGTGCGGCTTCCTGGTCAACATGAGCAGTGAAGGACATCGATGTCCTTCACCTGGTAACTGCTTCAGCTGTCAGCATGCTGCTGCTAAGCTCATCAGTACAGGTGGCAGGGAATAAAACAAACACTCATTTAATTATGCTTTGCCTCATGTAAAATCTAAAATTGGCTAAAAATGGTCTAATCTCGTTAGAGGTCTCCATGACCTGCTCAGACATTGTAACTGTGTGTGTGTGTGTGTGTAAAAAAGTGCTATAAGTTTATTATTTATTGCTTTTGGGGTATTTTTGGAACAACAGGGAATGTTTTATTGACAATGTTAATGACAAATGGAAAGAGAAGGTTTGGATTACTTTAAAAACATAGGTCCAAATAAAATCCAAATTTTAGATAAAACTTAATAGTTAATTAAAAGAGACAATGATAACAATTGGTTGCTGAGATAAAATCAGTTTTATCTGAGGTGTTTGAAATAGGGAGCCCAGACAATGAAAGCCTAACACTTTATAATGCAAGAGATAAATTTGTGTAGAGCTTTGCTGAAAGATGTCAGAGAACCAACAAGATACAAGCAGAAGCCTGACCACGCAAGGCAAAACCCCCCAAAACAAATGAAAAACAGCAACAAAAATCATAATAATTAACTCTAAAACTAACAGGTAACCAGTGAAGAGCAGCAGAAGCTGAAGTAATAGAGCTTTTGTCTGTTATGGTCTTACAGCAGTGTCTGTAGTCTGTGGATATTTTATCTGCTGAGACCCAAATAAAGTACAATATTGAAGTAAGGAGGAGATAAAGATAGGGATGATCCCCTTTAGTTCACAGATTCATTCCACATGTGTAACATGTTTTGATCAAGCACCTTAATGACGCAGGTGCTGGAACCAAGTGTTGTCATTATAAAGATCTATATTTGTAGTGAATCAGTTTACTATAACACTAATATGGAGCAGTGGCAGCCTAAAGCTTAGATAAGCTCATCTGATACCTGGACCACCAGGATAAATCTGGGCATGTGTCTGGGGATTACATCTCAGAGGTGGCAGTATTTAGTGAATAAATCAGGATAGAGCCTAGGGGAATTCTACAAATTCCCCCAGGCTCTACATATAGAACTGGCTCAGCCTGTCCCACCTCCTCACCCTTTTACAGCTTCCTGTGCAGGTTTTAATTAGTAGTTTCAGCCCCACAGTGAAGTGTGACTGTGCTCCTGCTAGGCAGTAAAGCTCTCTCATGTCCACTACATAGAGGAGGACTTGTCCATCTTTGTTCAGAGTGCCCCCTGGAACCTGCAGAGGTTATTGCAGCCTCATGGCAACACCTCTAAAAACAGAACATACCAGCCTCACTGTGCCATTTACACACATACGTGGACACCTGAAGAAAGAATCATTCAAATCCATACATCGTACATCTTCTGCAGATGATGGAGGGATGGCATAACTGTATATGATGGATGGCGGTGTTCAGAGTTCTCACAGAGAGGTTGAAGGATAAGTGCTCATTATGGACTTCAACAACGTCCCCGAGGAGGACGGAGTCAGAGTTCATAGACAGGCAACACATGCACACAAAGAAAATACTTGCACTTCCCCAGTATTTGTGTCTATGTCATTGCAGCTCAGTAACAAAATTAGGCTTCTCCCTATGCAGGCCAACTGGTGAGACAGTCACAACACACACACTCCAGGGGTTGTGAGTGGGTTGGACTCTGGTGTTGCCTGAGGTGCTGGTGTTAATCTGGTCTGTGTCCTCAACTGTGAGGGGAAAGGGACTGCGTCAGGAGCTCTGGCAGGTAGGACGTCCTCTGAACTGTTGTATGACCATTATTCCCTACCACTGTCCACTGCATTGCTCTGTTGGATGGTTGGTTTTTATTTTTGTTTGTACTCTTTATCCATTTGGATATCCTTCTCCTTGCCTTTTCTGATCAGGTATGGAGTTTATCCAAGCAACTTTACTGGCCCGTCCAGTAGATGTCGTGGTTGTTTTATTGCCTTTCAGATTCAGCCGTTCATTAGACACAGCCTGTTGGGACATGGTTGCTAATAGAGTTGTGATCATCTTTGCTGCAGGGAACGTCAGAGATGACACCTGCCTCTACTCACCTGCTTCAGAGCCTGAGGTTACATAACACTTTAAAAGCCCAACGGATGCCTTCACGCAAAATCCTCAACTTAACTTATGTTGTGTATGCAGGTTGTCACAGCACTGAACTCAGTGGACCAGCTCATGTCATAGGGAGCAGGCTGCTGCACTGACTTGTTTGCACCTGGAGATGACATTGTTAGTGCCAGCAGTGACTGCAGCACCTGTTTTATTTCCTGTAGTAGAACCTCCCAGGCTGCTGCTCTACACAAACTCACACACAGACAAATCATAAATATCTGAAAACAGTGCAATCCATGTGTAAGTGTGTTATATTTTGGTTCATGTGGGTATAGCAGTGATCCTGTGATCAGAACCTGTCACTGGTGCATGTTCTTGCATTACTCCATCAGTAATACAATCAACCTCCTCTCTGTTTGACACGCATCTTCTCACTAATCCAAACCTGGAAGCAGCCATGCATCGTGCAAACAACACACGTCAATGACTCACAAAAAGGCCGCTCTTAACAGGAAAACATACACCTATGTGTGTACGTATCTGGGAGAGAATTACACTGTGTGCGCAGATGGGAAACTTCTGTGTCAGTCAGTGTGGTCAGAGAGGTCGGGGGTCACGATCATTGACAGGGTTGTCAGTCACTGTCGTCAGGGGGAGGAGGAGGAGATGATGGGCTGCATAAGAGAAACCATCAGCGGGAGGTCAAATGGACGTAAAAAAACTGTGATCTAAAGTTTACAAACACTAAACACAGGTAAACTGTAATCTCTCTCTTGTTTACAGGTGAGCAGCGGGCAGATGGAGTGTATCGTCTATAATGGGCCAGGGGTAAAGGTGTGTACGCTGTGCCCCATTGCTGCGTGATAGGCGGTCTGCAGTGTGTGGTCCATGCTGATTCTGGACAAGATGAAGAGTGTGCAGATCCACAGCACCACCTGACTGGAATGGCACATTTCACATTAATATATATCATATTATAGGATTATAATTATTGATGCATTATTGTGTTCATCACTTTAATGTTGCAGCTGGTAAAGAGGGAGCTAATGCTAACTACCATATGTACTTATAATTTCAATGACTGCTGGGTAGTTTGTGACTCTTATGGTTTGGTTATAGTCTTGTTTTGTTTTATTCATCTAATTCTGAAAAGTAACTAGAAACTAAAAAGTTTCCAAATATATGGAGTAAAAACTACAGTATTTGTCTCTAAAGTGTACTGAAGTCAAAGTATAAATTTACAGTACAGACACTTCAAAATTGTGAAGTACAGTACTTGATTAAATGCACTTAGGTACCTTCCACCTCTACATAATGTATGTTTGCTCTTTACTAAGTGATAAACACAAGTGAGTTGAAGCAACTGCTATGAGAAGTCAATCATTTATATGATTATAGTAGTAGAACTCAGTAGTAGATTATAGTAGTTCTGAAGCACTTACATATATTCTAGGCCTCTGAATGTCCCAATGAACAGCTTTTCAATAAGATAATATCCTGTGTCAGACAAACTAGCCTCAGGCTTTGATTTTCTTTTAATTCAAATCCTAACTAAAGGATATCCAGACAATAAGAAGCAAGAAATGAACTGAAGGGGGAACCGGCGCTGCACAGGTTAAAAACCAATTCAGCTAAATACAGTAACAATGAGGCACTGTGTTGTCAGCTCTGGGTATAGGTAGAGAAATGTGGTGGCTCAGTCAGGCAGCAGG